AAACTCCTAACATCAGAAACTGTTTTACGAGTCGGCCACTCTCTAATTGCTCTTACCTTCGCCTCATCTACCTCTATTCCTTTAGCAGTAATAATAAACCCCAAGAATAACAGTTTATTAGTTAAAAAACTGCACTTCTTAAGATTAATATACAGCTTATTAATCTGTAAGGCTGTCAACACCTCCCTTAAATACATCAGATGATCATCCTCAGTCTTACTATAAATCAGGATATATCAAAATAAACTACAACAAATTTGCCAATAAAAGATTTCAGAACGTGATTCATAAGCCTCATGAAAGTGCTTGGAGCATTGGAAAGTCCGAAAGGCATCACCAACCATTCGTACAACCCCTCCTTTGTTTTGAAAGCTGTCATCCACTCATCTCCAGGCCGAATCCGAATCTGATGGTACCCATTCTTCAAATCTAGCTTCGAAAACCACTTAGCACCGTGCAACCTATCCAGCATGTCATCCAATCTCGGAATTGAAAACTTGTAATCCACGGTTATTTTATTAATGGCCCTGCTATCTATACACATCCGCCAACTCCCATCTTTCTTAGGAGTCAACAAGGCCGGAACAGCACATGGGCTCATGCTATTCTGAATGTGTCCCTTTCGCAACAACTCCTCCACCTTCTCTTTTAGAATCTCACTCTCTTTTGGACTCATCCTGTAGTGCGGTAAATTTGGCAGACTAGCACCAGAAATTAAGTCTATATGGTACTGAATATCATGCATAGGCGGCAACCCATCTGGAATCTCTTCAGGCATCAGTTCGCTAAATTCCTTCAATAAAGGCCTGACTGCTTCAGGCTGCTCCTCCACTTGTAATTCAGCCTCAGTCTCAATTGTTTGTTTCACGACCAGCACGTGAATCTGTCGAGTCTCCTTAACCTCAGCTTCAAATTTCCTCGTAAGGGTAAGGAAATTATTTTCAGCAGCTTGTTTTCCTTTGTTCTTCAGTGGCAGCAACGTATACTTCACTCCATCCTTCACAAGGTTATACTGATTGCTTCTTCCCGAATGCTGAGCATCTACATCAAATTGCCACGGCCTCCCAAATAACACATGACATACATCCATGTCTACTACATCACAATACAGCTCATCATGATACTTACCGATGGAGAATGGAATTTTACATCGCTCAGTTACCTGAATGCTTTCCGCTCCAAATTTAATCCATCTTAACGTATAGGGATTGGAATGCTTCTCCACGGGTATCCCCAGCTTCTTCACTGCCTCCTTCCTAATGATATTCTCCATACTTCCACTATCAATAACCACAGCAAAGATCTTTCCCATAATGGTGCACTTAGTTCGGAATCACTGATGGCGCTGCGAATCATCTTCCTGTTTTGGGGCCAACATCATCCTGCGCACCACACAGTTTACTTTCTCCTCTTCTTCATCTTCAAAATCATCGTCCTCACCATCCGGCGCATAGCAATATCCATCTTCCTCCTCTTTTCTCGTTGCTACCTTTACGGTCTTTCTCTGAGGGCATTCATTAGAACGGTGCCCAGGCTGATTACACCTATAACACTTTATCGTGGTTGGTTTAGTATAAGGGTTAAGGTTCGCAGTTTTCTATACTTGCGTTCCCTTATCCCTCGGCTCGTTCATAGGGCGTTTTTCTATCGTCTTACTTCCTGATTTCGCCCTGCGTTAAAGCGATTATTAAAACTGCTCTTTTCTACCGAACTGCTCAAACTGCTACCTCGATAATTTTTGTAGCCTCTTCTTCCCTTATCTTGCTGCATCAATTCTGCCTTCATCGCTATATTCTTGGCTTCAGTTAAATTTCGTAGAAACTGCACTCCAATTTTATCTCGAATGAAGGGTTTCAAACCATCAAGATATATGGCCACCTGCTGTCCCTCCGTCTTTGATAAATTATTCCGCTCTGCCAATCGCATAAATTCGGCCGTATACTCATGCACAGTCCGATTGCCCTGCTGGCAACGTTGGTACTGCTGGAACATTATCTGCTCATAGTCGGGTGGAAGGAATTCTTGCTTCAGCACCCTCCTCATCCTAGTCCAAGTTCGAACTCTCTCTTTCCCTTCTCATTCCCTCTTATTCTGTAATCTCTCCCACCATGCAGACGCACCCCCCTTTAATCTACAAGCTACTAATCGCACCCTTTTCTCACCAGGGGTCTCCATATAATCGAAAAATCTATCTATATCAGCAAGCCAATCCAAAAATTCTTCTATACCCAGACTAACATTAAAATAAGGGATATCGACTTTCAATTTAAAGTCGTTACCTTCACGATCGTCATAGCGTCGTCGTCCATCTCTCCTATCATACCTTCTCTGAAGTCCTCCCTGACGATTTCTGCCACCATAATCAGCACGTTCCTCATCAAAATTTTCAGTTTCTTCTTCTTCCGAACTCTCTGAAAACAGAGGATTATTCTGCCTGCGGACAGGAACAGGCCTATCAACAGGATCACCGCGAGCAAGATCTGTACCCGGCCTTCTGTCGTTCCGCCGATTCCGGTTCACGTCAACGCCGAGACCTTCGAATCGTTCTGTTAACTAGTCAAATCGTTCTTCGAAACGACGAAGACTTTGATCGAATCGTTGATCCAAGCGTTCCATTAAACGCTGCTCAAACGTTGCAGCGCATCGTCCCCAAGGGTTAGGGCTCCAGTCTCCTAAGCATCGTCACGAAGACCACCGCCAGTCGCCATAGGCTTTAATACCACCTGACGCAGCGTTCAGCGAATAATTCAAGCAAAACCTTGCTTAGAGAGAAAAATCTCGAAATTCAATATTGATGATAATAATGTTATCTCTTCAAAACAAACGCTAAACACCCTTTTATAGGGGTTAAACCTAATTACAATAGGAAACCTAATCATAATAGGAAAGTTACCTAATCTGAATTGAAACCTAATCATAATAGGAAAGTTACCTAATCTGAATTGGAAACCTAATCATAATAGGAAATCTAATCATAATAGGAAAGTTAATAAGCATCAAATAGCAAAATTACAAAAACGACCCTTAAAATTAACTCATAAAAAATACTAAAATAATAGAAAAAAAATCCATCTAATCGCATCACCGTGTCGCTTTCCGTTTGGACTTCTATTTGTCCAATCGGTCCAGAAATGCACCACTAATAAATTCCGCATCAATTCTAAAACCTACGCCCCCACCAGCTCTCGTACCCACAATGCTTCCAAACCCACTGAACAAGGCATAGGCCTTGCTCTACTAGTTCCGGGTCAAAGACAATTCTCCTACATACTATTTCCAAAAGGACCACTCCGAAACTGTAGATGTCAGATTCCTTACTTGCCTTGCCCGTTCGAAAGTATTCCGGAGCCCAGTAACCCGGTGTTCCTTTCACCTGGGCTACGTTTGGGTCTCTGGTGTGGTCGACTAGCTTAGCCATGCCGAAATCTCCCAATTTGGCCTCTAACTCTTCATTGAGCATGACGTTGCTTGATTTGATATCCCTGTGGATCACGCATTGATGACATTGTTTGTGCAGGTAGTGCAATGCCAAGGCTGATCCCAGAGCGATGTTGTACCTCATTTCCCATGTCAACAAGGGTTTGCCTTTAAACAGATGATCGTCCAAGCTATCTCCTCCAATGAATTCGTAAACTAGGACAAATTTATTCACCTCATGACAATAGCCTAAAAGTCGCACCAAGTTTTTGTGCCTAAGTTGGCTTAACGTCATCACCTCGGATTTATACTCCTCTAACCCTTGGCATGAATCAGAGTTTATTATCTTCACAGCGACCCGTGTGCGAGCGTCTCCTATGTGCCCTTTGTACACGATGCCAAAACCTCCTTTTCCCAAAATCTTGCCATCTGTAGTCGCGATCATGAACTCTTCATAGGAGAACTTCTTTAGTCCACCCAACTTTTCAAACTCTTCGGTTAATTTCATGCTATGGCCGCCTTCTTCTCCACCTCTCTTGGTCTCAGTTTTGTTCTCTTCGGTTGTCTTAGGTGCATTATTTTCCTCTGGCGTATCATTGCTCCGGTATAGACAGTCAATTTTTGAACGTACACAAGCAACATTATCGCCAAAACCTCCTTCTCCCAGAATCCTGTAATGTGCAAAAGAATCCGCAGCGATCATTGCCTCTTCAAAGGAGAACTTCTTTGGTCCACTCAACATTTCAAACTCTTCAATTAATTTAACGTTATGGCCGCCTTCTTCTCCACCTCTCTCGGTCTTGGTTTTGTTCTCTTCGGTGGTCTGAGGTGCATTATTTCCCTCTGGCATATCATTGCTCTGATATGGATGGGCAACTTTTGACCTATAACTTTTGACCTCTTGAATCATATCTACCAAAAGTCTCAAAGCCGAGGACCTTGCAGCCTCCATGGCCGTCGGGAGGGCCATGGCAGCTCCGGCAGCTAAATAGCTCAGCAATTCACGGACTAAACGTTGATAATGGAGCAATGGATTCTCAATCACAGTAGAATCAGACTCTGCGTATTTATGCTTGTTAAACAGAACCACCATAGCCAATTCCTTCTGAGTAAACTGCACACCTTTGGGGAGACTTGGTATGTCGCAGTAGTGCAAGAACAGAGCTACATCCGAGGGATCGTTGATGAACACCAAGTTGAGACTCGGCCTTATGTCAGTCGAAGAGAGAGTGATATTGGAATCGGCCGAGTGAAGCTTGGCAGTTAGGTGGGGGATGTTAAGCTTGGAAGCAACGGATTGAGCCGGTCGGTTTCCTTCTTGTGGTGTTAATAGGAGATTCAATTCCGAGTTGGAAAGGTAGCACTTGAACTCCTCAGCCGTGTAGGCCGGGTCAAGCGGAACTGATGTGGCTCGGCAACGAATTACTGCCATAAATATGATCACAAACTGCAAAACAAACACATACTTCCAATTAGCAAAGTATCATGCTAGTCCCCACGGAATGGAGATACAATAGGCAGGCATGTTGGAGATATGATATTATTGGAGATTCCGATATGGATATCATTTGGAGACTAATTGATTTAATCGATCCTTGATTAATTTGATTATGATCTCTTGTATATTGTTTCCTCTTTTTGTTTCATTTGTACACTATAAATAGACTATGTACATGTATACATAAAAATCAATACAATACAATCAGAAATTCTCCAATTCCCTTCAATTTCTATCATGGTATCAGAACCATCCTTCCTGGCCTAGCTTCCGCAGTTCTGGAATTGCCTCCGGTGTTCTCTCTTTTTGTTGTTGCAATCCTAACTTTGCAAAACAATTCAGCCACCTAGTAGGAATTCATTTTTGATACCATGTCAGAAAATCAGAATACAAATGAAGAAGCCCTCAACTCACCTAAAATTCAAACTCCAGCATTATCGGATCAAATTAATCCAATTGGTGATGGACGGTCTTCTGTTCAGCATTCAACCACATTTGCACTTGCTCCAGTCCCGATTTCCAGGCCATTTGGACCTACTCCAGTCCAGATTCTCGGCCCATTTCAGTGGCATCCAGCTCACTGGCATTCCATCCAAGGTCAATGGACCATCGGACTAGGACAAGCGTGGGCCAATTATCAACATGGCCCACACGGAGAGGAAAATGTAGCTGGGTCTGGAACTCAACCCAATGGGGATGGACCAATTCATCCACCGCACGAAACCAACCCGAATGGTGGAACGGGTTGGATAAATCCGGGTCACGGATCCGGATCCGGATCCATTCTGCCGAGTTTAGGGACGAATCCCTACCCATTCCTTCAACCCGGGTATCTACCATATGCGTTCCCAATTGGCAACGGTGGCCGTCTCGAGCCCGGCGACCCACTCTATACCTCGCCGGCCGACAAGCCTGAGTTACGCCTCATTACCTTGCAATTGACTAGGCCAGAGAATTACAATGCTTGGGCTCGGGATCTCTGGCGAGCCCTTGTCACAAAAGACAAGGATGGCTTCCTCAACGGAACCATACCTTTTCCCTCCGACGAACGACTTCAGAGGCACTGGAAGAAGTGCAACCAATTGGTTCGCACTTGGATAGGAAATTGCCTAGCTTCAGAAGTTGCTACTAGCCTCCCACCGACTGAAGATGCAAAGAAAATTTGGGAAAACGTTCGTGAGATGTACGGACGGCTAGATCGGGCGAGGTTATTCACAATCAATCAAGCTTTGTCGGAGTTGAAGCAAGGGAACCTTTCGGTTACTGCTTACTTCAACCAGCTCTCGGCTCTGTGGAATGAGCTCGAGGCGGTTGAGGAGCGGCTCGAAGGACCCGAGGCCACACTCTGACAATACAAAGAGATAAAAGAAAGGGAAAAGGCCACAAGGTTCTTACTGATACTCAACGAGTCATACTCGTCCTTCCGGTCACAAATTCTCACAATGGAACCGGCGCCTCCGCTAGGCCGGATCTACCAATTGTCTATCCAGGAGGAGAGCCAACGTCTGGCGACGAGCGAACATGCAAAGATCAGTGAAGGAGTAAGCCTTGTCGTCTTCCCATCGATTGTTGCAGCGGCGGAGATGACGACCAGAGGACAAGGAGCGACTGGAGCTTTCGAGAATGAAGGGGCCAGACGAATTGCTGTGGCGTCGAAGGAAAATGAGAGATGCCCTAGGGTTCTTGAGCGAACAGTTGGGATTCACGCATTGAATCGGATGGCCCACATTTGTCCTTCAATCTGGCCGAATCCAATGGCCATAATCAAGCCACATCAGCACCCAATTATAAAGGATCCTATGGCTCACGAAATGCCACATCATCAACAAAGGTTAGTGGGCAAACGACTGCACCATACCATGGACACATGCTGGAAATTACATGGGAGACCAAATGATAAAGACAAAAAGGAAAAAGAATTTTCTGCTTACCAGGTCTCTACGCAAAAAGTTGATGGAACACATCAAACAATTACTCAAGAGCAATATCAGAATATTATGAAAGCTCTAAGTCAACTGAAGACCAACGACAAGAATGCAAGTTTCTCAGGTACCATTCTTCACAAGACGAATTCAATATCAACTGATGCATGGATAATTGATTCAGGAGCCAGTGACCATATAATTTGCTATGAACATCTATTTTCCCATATTCATAGAAATTCACAATCCTCCATATATGTGCGTCTACCAAATGGGAATGTCACCTATGTTTCTAAAATTGGCACTGTTCGTCTCGATCCTAATCTTATCCTTAAAAATGCCCTACATATTCCTGATTTTGCATTCAATCTCCTATCTGTCTCAAAAGTTTGCGAGGACAATTCCTGTCGTGCCATATTCAATTCGGAGAATTGCTTCTTTCAGAACCATTCGACTGGGAAACTGATGGGCTTGGGTAGTATTACACAAGGACTATATTTTTTGATGGACTCTCCAGGAGATTAAGCTTTACTAAATAAGAGAATTTCTTGTAATGCGACCACTAGTAATAAAAATCTCCTTTTTCATCAACGTTTGGGTCATAGTGCACGTTTTCCTCATCCAAAATGTCAAATTTGTCCCTTGGCTAAACAATCTCGAGCATCTTTTCCAATTAGTACATCTCGAGCAACCAGTCTTTTTTCCTTACTCCATATGGACATCTGGGGTCCCTATCATACCCCTCATCGTGACGGATCTTGTTTCTTCCTCACGATAGTTGATGATTACACCCGTGCTACTTGGGTTTTCCTATGCAATCTAAAAGCCAAACCTTTTCTTACATGTCAAAATTTCTCTCTTTGGTCAGAAATCAATTCAATGAATCTGTCCAAAGAATTCATACAGATAATGGACGTGAATTCTTCACTTCTGATTGCATATCGTTTTTATCTTCCCATGGAATTCTTCATGAAAGTTCTTGTACTTACACTCCACAACAAAATGGAGTTGTTGAACGCAAGCATAGACATCTCTTAGAGATGTCTATGCTTGGGGATTAAAATATCAAGCTTCAATTCCTGAAACTTTTTGGGGAGATTGTGTGATCAAGGTAGCTTATCTAATTAATCGTATGCCAACTCGTATTCTTAATGGCCAAACTCCTTTCGAATTGCTTTATGGAAAAGAGCCGGATATTAATCACCTTCGAGTATTTGGCTGTTTATGCTATGCAACAACTGTGGGGCTTCAGGACAAAATGGGACCTCGAGCCACTCAATGTATTTTCATGGGATACCCCCCTCTTCAAAAAGGATACAGGGTTATGGAAATATCCACAAGGCATTTTTTCATAAGCAGGGATGTTATATTTCACGAAGATGTATTCCCATTCCACGAGAAGACTTCCTCATCCAAATCATCTTTATCAGATTGCCATCAGTTCTTATCAAATGAGGATTTATCAGTGGCTCCTCAATATGTCCTTGTTGCACTAGAATCACCTACACAAATTATGAAGGAGTCTTCAAATCAAGCAGTGAAATCACCAGCAATATTATCTAAGGATATTCATTCATCTACATCACCTATGGAGACTTCACCACAGCCTGCCCAAGAATTCTCTCCAGAAGTATATGAACAATTGCCAGTTGAGCAACCTCAACATTCGAAACGGCATATTCGTCCACCTACATGGACAAAGGACTACATATGTTCTGCAATGAGTTCACCAGGTACACAATATCAGGTTTCCTCATATGTCTCTTTTAGTAAATTATCTCCAGAACATATGTGTTGCATTAGTCGCATTTCGGAAGAACAGGAGCCATCTTCATATAATGAAGTTGCACATGATCCTCGATGGTAGGATGCCATGACATCTAAACTTAATGCCCTCATGGAAAATCACACTTGGGATATTGTTCCACTACCCTCACATCGGAAGCCAATTGGATGTAAATGGGTATACAAAATTAAGTTCAAAGCTGATGGCTCTGTTGAACGATACAAGGCTCGTTTAGTTGCTAAAGGATTCACACAACGAGAAGGCTTTGATTATCATGAAACCTTTTCTCCAATTGCCAAAGAGGTCACTGTACGTTCCTTCTTGTCAATTGCTGCCATTAACAATTGGCCATTACATCATATGGATGTACATAATGCTTTTTTGCATGGAGATCTCGATGGAGAAATCTACATGGAACTTCCACAGGATTTATGGAGACAGGGGAGTCTCGAGTATGTCGTCTCCGTAAATCTCTATATGGGTTTAAACAAGCTTCTAGACAATGGTATGCCAAATTCACTGAAGCACTGACAAATGCAGGATTTCAGCATTCCAAACATGATTATGCTTTATTCACATGGACTGTAGGTACTTCATCAATATATTTATTAATATATGTTGATGACATACTTATCATGGGAAATGATGACTCTCATGTTGAAAAATTCAAAGAGTATCTACACTATGCTTTTCACATCAAAGATTTGGGTCCTCCCAAATATTTTCTTGGTATTGAAATTACTCGATCCGACAAAGGCATCAATCTTAGTCAGCGAAAATTCATCTTGGAGATTGTTTCCGAAGCAGGATTGTCAGGATGTAAACCAGCCGTTTTGACGGGCAGAAATCCCAACGGAAGTCAAAGGGAGGAAGATGCTCCTAGGACCGGCGGACTCGGAGGTCAACGATTTTGGAACTCAAATTCGGTCGATTGCAGCGAAACGGCCTCCTGATCAATTCTCACGCCTTTGGCTGTGACTAATGATGAATTTTGGCGATGCGGGGTCGTTTAGATGGATTTTTCAATTTTTTTAGTATTTTCTTTTGGGCTTTATTTTTTTGCTACTAGTGGCAATTTTGTAATTTTGGGTTTGCTAGAGTCCTAGTAGGGTTAGGGTTAACACCTCATATAAAAGGTGTTTATTCATGTTTGAGACGACAGAATTTTAGATATTAAAATTTGAGATTTCCTATATGTTTGCATGTTATCGTTCCTTATACGCTTTGCGCTGCGTCAGGTGGTATCAGAGCCAATGGCGACCGGTGGAGGAAGTGGTGGTCTTCGTGATGATGTTCAGGAGACTGGAGCCCGATCCTTGGGGATGATGCACTGCAACAGTTGGAGCAACGTTTAATGGAACACCTAGATCAACGAATTGATCACAGACTTCATCGTATCGAAGAACGATTTGATGAAACAGCATATCGATTTGAAGCTCTCGGCATTGATGTGAACCGGAATAGGCAGCATGGCAGAAGGCCGGGTCCAGATGTTGCTCGTGGTGATCCTGTCGATAGACCTGTTCTTGTCTGCAGGCAATATAATCCTTTATTTTTAGAGAGTTCGGAAGAAGAGGAAGACAAGTTTGCTGACGAAGAGCCAGCTGGCTATGGAGGCAAACATCGCTATGGAGACTTTGGAGGGAATATAATGGAAGACGACGTTATGATGATCGTGAAGGTAACGACTTTGAATTAAAAGTCGATATACCTTATTTTAATGGAGGTATGGGAATAGAAGATTTTCTGGATTGGATTGCTAATATTGATAAATTCTTCGATTATATGGAGATCCCTAGTGAGAAACGGGTGTGATTAGTGGCCTGTAGGTTGAAGGGGGGTGCGTCCGTATGGGGGGAGAGATTGCAGAATAGGAGGGATCGTCAAGGAAAAGAGAGTTCGAACTTGGCACAGAATGAAGAGGCTACTGAAGCAGGAGTTCCTTCCACCTGACTATGAGCAGATTATGTTCCAGCAGTACCAACGTTGCCAGCAGGGTAATCGAACTATGCATGAGTATAGGGCAAAATTTATGAGATTGGCGGAGCGAAATAATCTGTCGGAGACGGAGGGACAGCAGGTGGCTAGATATCTCGATGGATTAAAGCCCTTCATTCGAGATAAAATCAGAGTGCAGGTTCT